TATATGAAACAGACATTAACAAAGTAACGGGAAGAAACCGGTACAAAAATTACCCTGAACGTTTACCGTCCTGTGGGAAGACGTGACCTAAGGGACAATTTTATTAGCCTCGGAACGGAACTTGTGGCCATTCCTTGCTATAGTAGTAGTAGTAGCAGTAGTGGCAGCAGTAGCAGTAGCAGTAGCAGTAGTAGTAGTAGAAGAAGAAGAATATAACAAGTCTTTCTGTAACGAGTGGAATATCGGTAAATTACAGGCACAGATGCGAATGACATAATCCTCTCTTCAAGAACAAGCAAAATATTTCATCGTTCCGGAGGAACAAGCTGTTTCCATCTTCAGGGTAGATTATATTTTCACCCTCAACTTTGGGGAAGTACGTTCCTCCAAACATTGGAAATCGTTTTCACTCCCAGCGGCGTGAGAACCCAGAAAAAAACTCGGAAAAATGAATATGGATCGTCATAAAATCACCAAATACTATGAAGTTAACGTTGTTGCTGTGTTTGCTGTCATATTAATAACATCCTGCTATCATAAACCTACCGACCGCAACTAAATACGGTGCACTCGTTGGGTAGTTTATTCATAAGCCAAGTCATTAACGCTGATGTGAATATTCAATTCATGTCAACGTCTTCTGGTCTCCCTATCCTGAGCCACAGCGATCCAGTCCATACCACCCCATCCTATATCTCTATGATGCATTTTAATATTGTCCACCCACTTACGTCTTGGTCTTCTTAGCAGTCTCTTTCCTTCTGGCTTTCCCACAAATATCCTATACCTATTCCTCTTCTCCTCAAATGGTGCTATATGCCCTGCCCATTTCTCCTATTACTTCTCTCTCAATATAAAGCAGAAGGTCTAAAACGTCTCATATAAAATTAACTGATGTCCATTTGTCGCAGATACAAATCTACCACTGCAGAATTTGGTAGCATATAAACAGCACAACAAAGTCGTCAATTGTTTTCACCTGCATTCCGTTAATTACACAACGCATCGTAAAATGATTCGAATGAAAACTGGAGATATAAAGTAACTTTATATGTTACATAATGTAAGAGCTACTCTATTTTATACAATGGACGTATATTTTAGAAAATGTATAATTTTTTTTTTTTAATTTAAGTCTGTCATTTAACGACGCTGTCAGTATCCACACTGCATAGCGTCTGATGAGGTAAGGAAGTGGAGCAGACGGTGAAATGAGCATTTGCAGAGGAAGCTGAAGTGGTCAAGGAAAACATGCCCCAATGCCACTCTGTCCATCACAGAATTGGTTTCGTGTAAAGTACAGAATATACTGAATCTGCACGAACTAAAACTTAATTCGACCGATAACTACAACTAAATCTAAGTGAAATCAGTTCAACGATTTCGGAATCGAAATATGTGGACGGACATTACTCCCCAACAGGCCTATGTATTAATTTTAGTGACCACGAGCGAAGAACGGACAACAAGATGTGTAAGGAAATGAACTGTTTAAGATGCAGAAATGTACGATTTCCATATATAAAGGTCAGATAAAAAGTAGTGGCAACATCTCTATAGTTCTGATATTACTTTATTATCTGAGGTAAAGACACTTACATTCCTTCAATATAATCGCCCCCCATGTGTACCACCTTCTGCGAAATTTGTGGAAGGCGTCGTACACCATCAGCGCGCCCACTTCTGTTGATGTCCAGCAGTGACCGCCCTACAGCACGAATAATCTCCTCTCTTGTGTTGTAACGTGTCCCTCACAGTGGTTCTTTCATTTTGGCAAAGAGATCATAATCGCACGGACTCATATCGCGTGAGTATGGCGGATGTTGCAGTATCTCCCATCCCCAGTGGCGAAGGAGATCCCTGATAGCGTCAGCAGTATGAGCCCTTGCATTGTCATGAAGGATGATGGGGTTCGTTGCCAAAAAGTGTCGTCGATTTCTCCTGAGTGCTGGACGAATATGATTAACCAGGAAATTTCAGTAGTAGACAGCGTTTACTGTCTGTCGTTGAGGTACAGTGTGGTGCAGTATCACTCCATCAGTGTCATATGACACAATGAACATAGCCTTCACATTACTCTACACTTTCTTTGGACGAGGAAAGCCAGGATGCTTCCACTCATTTGATTTTCCTTCAAGTGCGGTTCGTATGAGCGAGCACAAGTTTCGTCCAGAGTGACGATCCTTTCAAGGCAGTCGTCACCTTCCCTCTGGTACCGGTCCAACAAGCCCGGTGGAATTGCATCACATTGCCATTGTTGCACCTCGGACATTGTATGGGGTACCCAAAGCACTGCAATTTGGCGGTATTCAAGAATATCGTGCAGAATGTGGAGCACGGTTTTGTGACATACGCCTATCTCAGCAGCTAACTCCCGCGCAGCCCATCGACGATCGACATCCAGCAAAGAAGCAAGAAGCTGAACTGTGTGGTTGTCAACATGGGGTCGTCCTGAATGGCATCCCTCCCTTCACAGCAATTTCACCCATCGTGCCACTGTGCGATATGGCAAAGCAGCATCACCACATGCTTCTCGCAGTCCCTGATAACAGTTTTGTGCACTGTGACCTCGTGCAACTTCAATTTTTATCCAGGAGCGCTGTTCTTGTTTCGTAAATATGTTGTTAGGGTGCTTGACCTGGGCTCCTGCACTTCAAGACGATGCTCAATGCAACTTAGTGAAACACAACCAGAGCCACTCACTGCACTACTTCAACTGAACTTCTGCTGTCAGCTACAGAAGGCGCTAGTGCCATCTGACGCACATTTTTCATGTTACAGCAGTGTTGCCACTATTTTTTATCCAACCCTTGTAGACTGTGCGGGAAATGATCACTGGATGGGCCACTTACGATAACTACGAACATACAAGTTACGGAAATTAAATAGACGAGTTCTGCAACACACCAAGATATTAACGAAGAAAATAACCACGAAAAAAAAGGAGGGTATAGCAGTGTTGGCGCTGCAGACCCATTCGTGCCTAGGCCTGCTCTACTGTATAAGCTTTAAGATCCTCAAAGCGGTAGGACGGCTTCGATAGGGGGTAATGCCGTCATAGAGGGCCTGCATAAAACGCGAGCAATCTGCGTGTGCTTCGAACTCATAATTACGGTGCTTGACATTGATCACCTTAAACAACATGATCTTCAGGACTGATGCTCACTATCATGTAGTGCAGTAGCTCCAACATCACTGTCCCATATTTATCAGGTTTACATCAATCGTGACTTCACTGCAATCAGGCAGCTGCAGAAAACATCGCCATGCAGAATGCAAATGGACAGAATGAAGAGAACCAGTACCGCATCCTGCAAGTTCCTTTCGCACAAACCTCTTCAACACTAGCAACTGCAAGGAGATTTACAATGAACACGTCACTTGACATTCATTAGCATTAACTTTTTACAGCTGCTAATAATGATTGTTTAAATTACGTCACTAAATGTTGGCAAGAGAACAGATCCAAGTCAGAATGCAACATGTGGAGTGCACTGACTTGGCCAAGATGCAGTCCACGCCGTGTTTCCCACTGCGGTTCCTCATTCTTATTTCTATCTTCATGAAAAGCATGGGGGAGGTACACGGTCGGAGATCAGAATGCTTTTGAATGAAGAAATGGAAACGATATAACAGGAAGTTGTCGTGATCTTGCATCAAATATCTAATCCAGCACTCATATAGTGAGACTAAGAAAATAATTAAAAACTTCATTCATGACAGCAAATGTCCGCATCTAGAATGAAACCAAAAGCCTTCCAAATGCGAAGCAATAAAGGAAATAACTGCAACGTTCAGAAACATAAAGCGAAATGCACAGTGTTTTATGGCCCTGGGGTCGACTCAGCCTCTAACAGAAATGACTACCACGATTCTTCCTGGGGGGTAAAGGGCGGCCGGCGCGTAAGGCTGACAATCTCACCGCCATCTGAGCTGAATGACCAGAAAATGTGGGAGTCTCGATGTCTCACAACCCTATGGACCTCTAAGGCCTGTTACACGGATACCTTCACCTTTTTACAGCGTAATTCTGTATTTCAGCATCCTGTTGCAAATCTTTAATTAAACGTCTATGTATTCAGTCTGTCAGTAATGCAACAATCCTTAAAATATTCACCATTTAACACTTAACACAACATGTTTCGGCCATAGACGGCCGGACTGTGATATAGGCGGTCAATGTTTATAGCGTTTTATATTCTTTCTAACGATAACACCCAGAAATATCTAACATATAACGTGAATACATAGATGTTTTCTTTTAATGGAAAACTGAATCATAATCTCTAGCCAAATAAACACGACACTTATTTCACTTACCTTACCTGTTCAATTTTCTGTATTCTTGTGGCGGTCTACTTACTAATACGTGTAAGTGTAGCGTCACCGTCTGAAGAAACACACCGCTCCCAATAGCAACAATTGTTTCTCCAAGACGTTCGTACCCATGGACTAAACTAACGGGGTCATTATCTTTACCGTCGAGTCCCATCTACATTTTTCTCTTCAACGAAATAAGGTGCTCATAAATAAATGCTAAGCAGACGGAAATTTCTCATATTGCACTGATGTGTCGGATCAAGTCGACATACGTAAGTAGCACATGAGAACATGGCAAGCTCTTGTTTAGTCTTTAGTTGCAGGCGCGGGTGGCACGACCTCCTTGGACCTGCCTGTGAGCCTACTGCACCAGTCTCGGATGACAGATGCACATGGAACGTACATGGAATGATAAATGTTAGGGTAAAGAAGTGTTTGCAATTTATGCATCACAAATCCCACACAAGGTACGTGCGATAAAACCTGGACCACTGCGGTGAGAAGCCGGCGACTAAATGTCTGAGCTGTGGCACAGCCTTGCGAGCTATGAACTACATACAAATGAAATTGTGTCATTCAGGTCAACAAGTTACTTTACTCTTTATTTCTCGTTAACATGGGCAGTATTATTACCATCTCTGAGGTTACGGATATAGGTACGGTTTTCAAAGAAATTTTACCTTTCTTGGTAGGACTTGTCCGTTGCTTGTGGAAATGTTTTTCCAGGAATGACATCAACATCATGATGGTTGTCGGAAAACGCCTTCAAATCACACTACCGTTGAAAATGGGGCCTTCTATCTCCGCCGTTGGAGAAAACGACGTGCATGCCGCTGCGTCTTTCCCCGCTTACGGTAAGAGACACCAGACACTGATCATGTTTCAGATGTCAGCATATTATAACCGAAATTGTTTACCGTGCGAATTGATTTAGTACGATAATATTGCTGATATAATTCATCTTCAGTGACATACATCGTCATAATTACGGCTCATTAAATTTTGGTGTTCTCTGAAAATGTCCGTTATAATCTTCGTGGAACTGAAGACAATATTTATTAAGGCGTTTTTATAATTAACCTGTAGTGTTTCACGAAAGGAATGCTTCGTTAAGACAATGAATATTACTAATTAGAAGCTGAAAGTTCCGAAGTCGACTGCAGGTGATGACATGACACGGGAACACTATGACAGTTACAAGACCACCTGGGTACTGTCGCAACCCTAAACACTGACGCCCACCATTGCCAGCCGACGTTCACGAAAGCCCCTCGACAACTGCTTCTCAGTCACGACGGTCGCGATCCTAGAGTCTTCGTGCCGTTTCCATCGAGCAGATGCAAAAGCAGCGCTTGCGCTCGTACTGTCGGAAACGTAAGTACAGCTCGCGAAAAGTCAGAGGGGGGAGGTTTATTATACGAGAGAGCTTATAGGGCCTAGCCTATTAACACCATGTTAGGAAAACAAATTCAAAAATTAATTATCTAAATATGCTTACAGAACACCGATATAAGCCGAGATCGTGACAATTACACAGAACTCAGCAGGGGGACAGCCAGAGATTTTACGATACTATTACATCACTTTCGTAAGGCACTAGGCTAACCCACGGCAACCCTCTCTCACGACTGTCTCCGGCCCACTTGATCATAACGTGTGGTGCTGTTATTCAGATTTGCAGTATATTATTAATTACATAACACTTTAAGTTAGGCGATCTGTTATAGTCTTCGCAGTCATCTATAGGTCGCTATACACCGTGCGAAAGTCCGAATTTAGTTAATGTGTACGGCGTAAATGAAGGCGTAAGAACGGCTCGTTCGCCTTCAGTCCCTTTCGTTGGCGGAGCGCTACAGTAGTGTGGGCAGTAATTATTAGGGCATTCTTCCCTTTCGACCATTTGCCTTCATTTCCTTTTTATGCTTACTGATATTCCCATTCTATCCTGGAGCGAAAAAATACTGCAGAAATGTTAGTATCAAAGAAAAAAAATGTTTACGGGATCTATAAATTCATTTTATACAAAGAAGAATTATCCGCGCCTAGGAAAACATCGCCCAACTGATAGGCTGCGAGACGTCGGAAGTTGAGAGAAAAATGGATTCACTCTTGTGACCGTTCAGGCATGAAAAGCAAAAACAAGACAAAAAAAAAACAATTGAACGAACAGGAAAGAAACGTCATCGAACTTCAACTGGGGGAAAACGCCGAATTTGGCTGAATTAGAATGACCCTTGCAGTGCAGACGAACCAACAAACAGCGAAAAAGACGTGCAAGTTCGAGCATCCATCGTGTTCTTTCGCTTTCGTTTGCATAGTTCCCACTTTACGGCTGGTACCCGGCCTTCGACCGGGATATACGTAGTTGTCTTTTCTATCGTTATCACAACATACAGTGGCCAACACTTTAAAGGACGAATAACACCGAAATACTGTATTTAACGTTCATGACTGTCTGGACATCATACATCTGATTCCTTAGCAAATATGCAAGACAATCTCGGTCGCATTTTGATACGCACAAATTGAAGGAACAGGTTGCCCGTGCCTGTCTGTCCGCCCACAAGTTTCAACAAGAGCCGCTGGGTGCATTGCATTAACTGCATGTCGCTGGAGGCTACACCAAACTCGTACATTTAAATTCCGTACAAAATGTTATACCGGGGGCACGCAATAGTGTAGATGGCTGAGGCACTATGATACCAGCCGGAAGGATGCGGGTTCGATTCCCAATGGGGTCACTTGATTTTTCAGTTGACCTAATATTTCCAGCCGCACTATGGTCCTGGGGTCAACTCAGCCTCTAACAGGAATCTTCCTGGGGGTAAAGGGCGGCCGGCGCGTGAAGCTGAAAACCTCACCGTCATCTGTGAGTCGATTGTCTAGAAATTGTGGGAGCCTCGACATCCCGCAAACCTATGGGCCTCCACGGCCTGTTACAGGAATACCTCTGCCTTACACTTACACCACCCTTGTAAGATGCGAGTGGCACTAACTGCAATTAATAAAGGATTCTGAAATAGTGTACAGTAAGAGACCTTTGAAAAAAAAATGCAACTTTTTACAGAATGTAAGACAACAAAATAACTCTATGAAGCTGAGTCGTGCTTGAAAAGCCAAAAGTTGCTCATCCACTCACGAAATTCCAAGAATTTAATGGAAGCTGAAGGCCAATTACTGTGGTCAAAATATTCCATTACTGGTCCGTATCCTGACCAAGATGAACATAGTGGATAACCCCACCCCCCAACTGCTATTTCCATATTTTACCCCATAAATGTCTAGTCTTCACAGTGACCTCTTTCCTTCAGGTTTTCCCATAAAATCCCTGCGTGAACTCCTCTTCGTCCCACGTGTGCTACATACGCCAAGTCATCCCCTTTCATTTAACAATTTTAGCAATTTCCGATGAGTATCAATTGTGAAGTTTCTTATTATACATGTTTCTCCGCCTCCTATTATTTATTCCTTCTTAGGCAATTGAATTCTTGTCAACTGTCAACTCAAATATAGCGCCATCTCTTCTCAGCCTTCCTTGCAGAGCTCGACTCAACTGAACTCCTCACTCACAACTACTTCACTTTACTCAACTGAACTGGTCAGAGTCAAAGTCAGAGTCAGAGTTACTTTATGACTGGCGGCTTACTGTCAATCAGTCAGTCTTGGCGTCAGGCCCCTTGAGGCCCGAGACCAAAGATTTTTTTTCCAACTGAACTCTTGCGGTCTTAGCCCTTATGTAACATCCTCTCTGACGAGAAGATGGGTTTGTCTCTTATGAATATATTTCGCACATATAACATGTTACTGAAAAGTCTTCCTTTTGAACTACACACAAGTCCTCTGTCAGTACAGGCTTTACAGGGCAGATCGTGCCTAACTTACGTATCTTATGCTACAACGACAACTTAGTCATTTGAACGGTCGTAAGCTTGAGTCAGAGTCAGAGTTACTTTGCGACTGACGGTCAGCCAGTCAGCAAGTCTTGGTGTCGAGCCCCATTTGGGGCTCATGACCAGATATTAATTATTATCGTTTGACAGTTATGGTCTTGTTTCTGTGGGGCACCCTCTCTGACGAGAGGACGGGTCTGTCTTTTGTATATGCTGCTGGCTCTTGCCAGCGCAGTCTTTCTCGGGTCCGAGTCCCTTGGGACTCGCGATCATATTTTATTGTCTCAGAATTGAGAGTTGAGAGAGAGAGACACACACACACACACACACACTTACGGATCATCTTCAGAGGGAACATCAATACTTATTCGGAAACCACCATCACAATAGGTGTTCTGATTGCTAAATTACATACACACATAATGTCTGGAATACACAATGTACACAATATTCAACTTTTCACAATCACAGCAGCCTTCCTGGTATTAACACTTTTATAGTGTTTAAAAAATTTTAGCTTACCTGGACTTAAATATATTTAACAGATACAGACAAATGGAAATGGAAATATACAGAAAACCCACGACATGCCACCCTAAAGAACAAAAATTGCCAGCATATAAAAATTGGATACACAGACTTCTTACACTACCCCTTGAGGAAAATGCTAAAATCAAAGAATTAAATACTATTATCAATATAACACTAAATAATGGCTATAGAAAGGAAGACATCACACATCTATATAATAAACTTAAGCGAAAGATGGGTAACCGGGATAACAAAGACGAAAAAGAACAAAATGGGTCACTTCTACTTATACAGGAAATTACATACGAAAAATCACAAAACTATTCAAAAACACTAACATAAAGATAGCCTTCAAAACAGCCAACACAATAGGTAAACTAATAAATGAAAAACGAGAAATAAACCCCTATGAACAAAGTGGGATATAGGAAATAACATGCCAAAGTTGTCAAAAAGTATACATTGGCCAAACTGGTAGAAATCTAACAAGATACAAAGAAGACATAAGAAACATAAGACCAAACAAGGACGAATCAGCATTTGCCCAACACATACTAAATAAACACCATCAGTACGNAAAAAAAAAAAAAAAAAAAAAGAGGCATCATGAATGTAAATAAATTGATAGAAGAACAAGAACACACAAAAGAATGTAATAGCCAACATGTTCGACCTCATAATACATCAGGACACGCCCACATCAACGTCACAGACACAGGAAGTATAAATTACGCGGCACAGCACACTCTAGAACGGTGAAAACAACACAGCACCTAACTTCAGTCCCCCGTAAGCTTGACCACCGCCAATCTCGTTATAAAGCCTTCGCACCGACCACACAGAAAATAGTCTCTCTATTGTTGGCACGTGTTTACCGAGCGATCGCATAGCAACGGTCATAACGCCGACCGCACAAAAAACGACGCGTGTTGCCTTGCGTGTATTCGGTCGCGACGTGTTTAACGGTCCGGTATCTAGTTTCTGCGTCTGGCTTCACCTTGTCCAATACCGCGAACATGTTCGATTTTGTATGACTTCTGCTTGTTGTCTGCACAATTTTGTTATATAATGCGCTGCAATTTTAGGTGGTACGTGTCTGCCGCTAATTCCCAGGCGGGACAAGCGTAAGTCATTACTGATCTGATCAGTACTTTAAAGGGTTAATTTAATGTTTGCGTTTAAACGATCACTTTTGAACAGGAGTAGATTCTAATAAATGTTCTGAAGGCATTGGCTTCAATCATTTCTGTGTGAAGTCTCCACGTGATCCTCTTATCAAAGATTACACTCTGGTATTTTGCATGACTGACAAAGGGGATATTCTGCCCATTCAATGTAAGATGAGTCTGACAGGGCCTAAGTTTGTGAGGAAAGTAAATTGCCTGATATAGCGGGAGGGTTTCCACGTAGGTCTGTTCATTTGATGCTCTTCGATTGGTCGTCAATTGCCTCACATTTATGACGTTGAAGCATAAGCCCTCAAGGCTGTTGGAAATATCTTCTGCTGGCGTGTCTGGGGAAAGATGGCGGATTACTGCATTGATAGGATCTTCAGAATTTGGAGAGAAGCTGTAATACTGAAATTATTTTTCTCCAGGTAGGATTTCATGGCTGAATAGTCTGTCATTTCTTTCGTTATGATACGGTTTCCGTTTCGGAATTCGTACTCTCCTTTGACGTGATCTTTTAGTTGGCTTTGGACTCGAATTAGGTTTGTGGTAGAAATGGAGTCAGAGCAGCTGATTGGAACTCATGCTGAAGGAAATGAGAGCCGGCCAAGATCGGATGATGAAACAGATTCTGGCCAACCAAGACAAAATAGAGGCGAATAGGGAAGCCA